ATGGTTTGTGTGGTGCGCACTGGCTGGCTGGAGTATTTTGTCCCTTTTTGTTTTTTCTCTTAAAGTTCTCTTTTTTGTCCGAGAAGCAAAGGAAGCAGTGAGCGGTGTGCTAGGTAAAAGGGTGCGCATGGAGTGTTAGTGAAGGGAGAGTGGCAGGCTTGCAGTGGTGGTGGTTGGAAAAAAAATATAATAAAAACAGGACCATTTGGCTGTTTTCTGCGAATGTTTTGAAGATAACGCGTGGTAGGTGCATGTGCATGGAGAGCAGCACACACACGAACGAACGAACAAGAGGCCAACCTACCCGTAGTTCGTTGTTGTACAATCGGTCTCGCTAAGTGTAGTGGTTGGATGATGGATGACGCGCGGTTGATGTTTTCTCCTACGAAGCCCGCCCCGCCGACGTTGTGCATGGTGTATTCCTCGATTGGTGCGTCCGTCCGTTTTCGCGTACAACAGCAGTTGTAGTAGTGCACCAAGCGCGGGTACTTTGCATCTTGCAGAGTGGAGGGTGCTATTACAAAGGACATGCTCCACCGGAAAAGCATGTGTTCATGCACAAGAGTTCTTTTTCTCAAGTCGATGTGTGTTAGCAGCAGCAGCAGCAGTTTGTGCGGTGGGGTGAATTTTTCCATCCCTCGAGCAAGTGAACAATGAATGCATTCCTCCTGTTGCGCCAAGTGAGACTCGCCGGCTCGTAGTCATGCTATCTGTCACGGGATCATCCGTCCTTCGATTCCCCACGTCACGAAGGAAAACAGCATGGAAAAACGAGTGCGATAGCGAAAAAAAACATTCTCGTTGATGGGGGCGGGAACAAACATCTGTGGTTGGTTTCGCCGCGTACGGAAGAGCTCGGTCCCATTCAATTACCAACAACGCTCGGCGCCTCTCTTCCTGCCGCACTGTACGATGCTTTTTTTGTCTGCCTTGCTGAACTGAAGAGCTATATGGTACGTCACAATGCGGCGTAGATCATCATGCATCCGCCTCAAATGCGAGAGAAGACCCCAGCACATCGTTTTCCCTCGAGGAGAAGAGGGAACCCGCCGAACAAGCTTTTCTGCCTACACATGTCACTGCCGTGTGTATTTAGGAATCTAGGCTCTAGGCACCAAAAACGGGGGCCATAAAACGGAAATATACGTCCTCCAGTAAAAAAATTGGAATTATTGGAGCTCCCACCCAAATGTTGAAGTATATACTATAGCTCGTGTACGATAGAGATTATGATGATGGACAGCAGACAGCAGCACCATCAACATCAACATCAATATCAGCAACTGGGTGTGTCGTGGGGTTGGTGACGAACCCGCCCACGCGAATGGCTCCAGCACTGCTGCTGCGCTGGAAGGAGCCCCATTTTTCTTCCGCCATCAGCACTGCGTTGAGTAGCGACAGATATAGCCTGGTATTTGCCAGTCACGCAGCGATTGGTTGTAAACCACCGGCAGCAGGCAACAAAAGCAAGTACAATAGATTGTTATTTTTCCTTAGCCCCCCCCCCACCCCATGGTCAATGCTCGAGTTGCCCTTGACACCATAGACTTTGAATTTTACACGAATACCATCAGTCAGTACAATATCGAAACAACAAATCAGACGAAAACTGCATGTAACGTTAACGAACGCCACGTGGAAACCACCATCATCATCAATCATCAACAAGCAAGCACGGAACAAGACTAATTTAGGCCCAACACCAGACATCTCATCCCCAATGCTATGTAGTACCGCACTCGGACACATACATAATACATGCTATGCACCAAAAAAAAATCTTGAGAACAAAAATATTACATGGCAACAAGAACCCAAGGCTCCACAAAGACCAAGTCTCGGCCGCGGATTCACGTCTTTTCAATGAGACGGCCAGCCAGCCGGGAATACCGCTGTTGATGCCAATACATTTCACAACATGCGCGGGCACTTTCTTCCACGAACACTAAACAAACAGACCGGTCCAAAGGACGTGCGACACACAACACAAGCGACTTCGACAGCGAAGAGAACACAAAAAACAAAAAAATATCAACGACTGAACGGAGACAACCTATAGCGAAAAACTTAGCTCTCGCATACACTTCCATGTAAGCTAGGAACCCCCACATACGACTAACTAACAGACAAACCACAGGGATGGGTAAATTTGGTGGAGATGTACAGAAGACATAAATCACCGCAAATATGGGGTTTCCGGACGACGTTAACGCTACACGTGTGCCGCCAGCCATCATTTTCGTTGATTGCCAAGGTTTGACTCTAAAACCACACCACAGGCAAGGCAAGGCAAGGCATCAACACAGCAGCAGCAGCTTGCCATGCCAAGCACACGCGCAGGTAGGCACCGGGCGAAAGAAAGCACCCGTACGCCGGCCAACACAACTTCACGCACACTGTGGGTATATCTCGAATGGGTAGTCTTTCTGTGTGTGTATTTATTTTTCCTTAACTTCACGCACCCTCTCCCTCTCTCTCCGAGACTAACTGACCCTGCTGGAAAAGTTCCCGAAAACCGCCTTCCAGACCCCAGGTAAAACACCAAAATCGCTATCCCTGCAACACAAAAACGCTGTCCATATCCAAAACACAAAGCCCACCCAAAAGCGCTGGAAAAAATACAAAGCTCTCTCCTGCTATATCCTAATATACGGTGTGAATTAGGACGCCCTATTGTACCCGCCATCGATTAAAGTAGGCCAAGGCAGAGCACTATGTACCCGTAACAAGCAGTTTCATTTCTACCTCACGTTGCGGCAGTAAGACCCCTTCCTGTTCTGCTGCTCTTGTGCAACCACACCCTTACCGCGCTGTTACTGTCTCTCTCTCTCTCTCTCTCTCCATGTGAATACGTGCATCGTACTAGTACAAGGAGACCTTACGAGGGCAACTACTCTCCCCACGCTCGGAACTAAAACGACATCGGACAGCGACCAATGTGTAAAAAGGTCTATCCGCAGCAAACTACAAGTACGCACGAGTGACACGATACATTCACGCATCTCTCATCGTCACCCCAACCATGGTGACGAAACGAAATCCACAGATTAAATTTACAACGAGTCACAGAAACAATCAGGGGTTCAGGATTATCATATCCGGGGGGGGGGTGAGGGGTTGTCCCGCAGCCAAAGCGCGGGGTGTGGCTGCTAAACTAGCCCTGTTGGGATGTCCTATCGGTCAATCCCAGGTCGGACTGCCGCAGAGTCCAAGCGCACCGAGACAAACCAGATCCCATCTGGTGTGCACCTTGCCCCTTCCTCCAAAGAACACAAACGAACGGCCAGCGAACCTCTCTCGCTGCTCTCTTGTCACAAACCAAAAGTCCCAGCCGAAAACATAAAGAGCCCACGGCAACGTGCACCGGTTGTTTACAGCTGAAATCGCGTTCTCGACAGCCGCCGCGTGCCCCGGCGAGAGACGACGCCTCCGGCGCCGAGGCGGGCGGGGGATTCCCCTCCTCTTTCTCAATTCCCAACCATCCTTGCTCTAGCGTAGGTAACGAAAGGACTGGCGAGCGGGCAGGGGCGAACAGCCCAGAAGCTCATGCTTTCCGGGTTGATCTCACACATACCGCATTCTACCGCACCTTCCCTCTCGTGATGACAGCCCAAGACGCTCATGCTATCCAGGTTGGTCTTGACACATCCACACTTCCCCACATACGGCATTCTGCCGCACCTTCCCTCTCGTTGTAAGCTACTACTTACTACAAGCCCTCACGTTTTATGTACATGAGGTACAAGGTGTCACCGGTGATACCCAACGCGGAGCACCAGCTCGTCGACCACGACGCGAGCGATTCGGTCGTACCCGGGCTCCTCCCCAAAAATCTCATAAAACGCCTGCACCGACTTTCGCTGATTCGAGAGACGCGCGCGCGGGGCAGCATCGGCCGGGGGGGGGGGGGGGGGGGGGGGGGTTT